TTTTGAAGTATGATTACGTAGAAGTGGCGCGTGATATGAATACGTTTGTTAAATATTATAAAAGTTCAAATTAGCCGTTAGTGGTGTGAATGAATAAAAAAACCGATCACCAAAAGACAGGGAAGACATGAACAGTACAGGCTTGAGAAAATTATATATTTGTAAAAAATCGTAGGTTGCAGGCCAAAAACGCCAACTACTGCACTACATTAGATTAGTCTATTTAACTGCCCTTTTTTGGCCGCATAAGTCAAAGAGCTGCTTACATAAGTATCGACAGCCGCACAGCCTACTTAGAGCAGGACTACATCAGAAAACTTCGAACCGGAGGCCAAGATCAATTTACATAAGAACTACCCAATAATCAAATAAATACCATCCTGCAACGGCCTCTGGCAGTAAAAGAAATAGAATTATGCAAATTAATCTGGGATTTGAGGTTGACGCGGCACATGAAATGAATATACATATAAACATTACAATGAATCAATTTTTGCACAAACATTCTCTTCACGAGGAAGAGTATGGACTGGGCGATTTAAACAAAGAAACTCCACAATATAGATTCTGGTTTCTATTTCGATTCTGAAGTTTCTTAAACCTTTTTCGTGGAATCACACAAATAGTTCTCTTCGCATCTTAATCAACCAGCCGCTCTTCATTCCTATTTCTCTAGACATCTTCTTTGCCATATCTTCTAAAATACCTGATTCTGTCATTCCATCTCGCGTGGTCTCTTCCCTTCTGTCTAATGGAAACCACTCAACGAGATTTTCCCTGGACCTCTTCAAGCCATTTCACGTGACCGAACCATTTCATCCTTCGTGATTCCATTCATCTATAATTTATTTAGAATTTTAATAATTTCTTCATATCTAATATGGTTCATTTTCATTACGGGCCAACAACCTTTTTTCGAGAAAATTGTAACTCATTACTTGTTTCTTTCTCTTTACCTTAATTTCGCATGTTTCTTGGAGCCATACACTGTGTAGCATCAGAAATACTTTTTTATAGTAAAAATATAAGGAAAAAATTACGAGTATGTATGAAACTCGTATGAGTAGTATAACTCGTATGAGTATGTATAACATCGTAATGAGTATGTATAACTCGTAATGAGTATGTATAACTCGTAAATGAGTATAGTATACTCGTAATGAGTATGTATAACTCGTATGAGTATGTATAATCGTAATGAGTATGTATAACTCGTAATGAGTATGTATAACTCGTAATGATATTGTATAACTCGTAATGAGTATGTATATCGTAAATGAGTATGTATAACTCGTAAATGAGTATGTATAACTCGTAATGAGTATGTATAACTCATAATGAGTATGTATAACTCGTATGAGTAATGTATGAACTCGTAAAAATATTTCTTTGTATGAAACCAGTAATATTGAACAATTAATGAATTAACATTGTTTTGTGTGGATTGTATGCGGCAAAGAAATTCTAAGATATGAAATTGGTAGCCTAATTTTAAAAAGTCCTAAATTCTGGCGCTTTGTTCGTGCGAGCGAACACATTTCGGAGATGACCTCGCACGTAGCATTTCCCGTTTCCAGTTGACTGCGCAGGCCTCACGGGCCGAAAGAGAAGAAGGCTGTTCGTGGAAGCCGGAATTGGCGTTTAGTCAAAGCTTAACGGCGGGCGCGGGAAGCAGTAAGCGGGGTTCCCAGTTGGGATGCATCTGTGCAGTAGAATGGGTCCGGTTGTTTTGCCGAGTCGCTCTTCGTCAAGGAGTCATAGTCAATTAATGAAGGTTGTTGCGTAGTGTTTCATGAGAGAAACGTGCAGTGTAAAAAAATACGTGAAAGCGTTTGAAGTCATCTGTGGGTTTGTTGCCGGATTTTATGCAGAGATGTATGTGTGCATTAGAACTAATCTTCAATTTTTTTAACGTGGCTCTTGACGTTAATTGTGTCATCCAGTCAGGAGCTTAAACGTCACCACAATAACGCCACCGAGATGACTTTGAAAATTCCCGATTGAATGACACTGTAACAGCTGATTTACGTCACGCGCAACGTAAAAAAATCGAAGTATAGACCATTTACAATACACATTACGGCTAAGCTCAAAGCGTCCACGGCGTCAAGGCGCTGTGTGCGCTGCTTCATGTTCGGTCGCCGGTTCTTATCTTGACCCGCATGCGCCCTCGCGCTGAATCGAACTGAACCGAACCGAACCGAACCGAACCCAACCCAACCGAATCGAACCGAATTGAGCCGAAACACAATCGAACCGAATCAAATCCAACAGATCCGAACCGAACCGTATCGAATTGAATTGATGTCTAATTTTACGTGTCTAGACTCAGGTCATGACGCTTTCTCTTCCGTCTGCCCAAGTAAATATCCCTGCACACTGTTCGCCAACTAGCGGAGGAAGGAGGTATTTCATGAACGACGAAATAGGCGATTTGAATTTAGCTCCGAGGCTTCATTTAGGCTTAAGAATCATTTACATACAGTAATTCAACTAACATGGGTCAACCGGCTTTTACTTCCCCTCCAAAAAAGGCGTACAGCAAGGATTTTTCCGCCCTTAAAAATCAACGACTTCAATCGCGTTTGAGCCCGTGAACTTTGGGAATAACAGTCCGATCTGTACATAACCGAACTTGAGTATTGCAATGGGGTTTGAACCCGAGAACTTTGTACCCTAAGCGTT